TGTTTTACAGTAGAGGGGGTTGAGAGAGGAGAGAAGAGGGGAGGGGAGGGGAGGGGGGATAGTAGAGGATAGGATAGAGAGCAGAATTCATCAGACACTAGAATGGCAATATGTAAATGAATGGAAATGTAATTGATGTAACTGATGTGATTCAGTAATCTGTATACAGGGTAAAAATGGGAGTTTATAACCCTTTTGAATCAAACTGTGAAATATGATATATCAAGAAAGATGTAATGTTTTGAACGACCAACAATAAAAAAAAAAAGAAGTATGTTGTATGGATTAAATATATAAAGCAAGCACAGTCTTACATTCAGTATATAAGTGGAGCATGGTATTTTTATAGCCTTCTCAAACTGTGGAAACTGTTTTTCTGTTTGTTTAAAGTTTTTTTTTTTTATAAACTATTTTTATTTATTTTTATGTGATGCTGAGGATCAAACCCAGTGTCTCATAGAGGCAAGGACTCTACCATTTAGCTACAACTCCAGCCTGGAAACTGTTCTTTGATATAACACCAAAACTTGACAAGGGCTGACTTCTCAGAGGTTCACTGTAATATCGTAAAATCCACTGGTCTATTCTACAATTTGAATGGATCCTTTATGCATGCACTATTTTGTAACATTATGCATTGCACTGTTCACTTGGAAAACACTCATTCAATGAATAATATACATGTTACAAATGTTGACACATTTCATCACAGGATAATATCATATCATGTAGCTTCTAAAAACTTCTACTGTATATTTGTGAAAGAACAATAAAGATAAGATAAATAATATTTTAGTACTATTATGAGAACAGTTTTGACCTTGCTGCCTTTGTGAAAAGGTCCCTAGATGATACTTTGAGAACATCTGGATGACGGTACTGTGTGTCTAGGAAAAGCAGTATTTGAGGGATTTTTGAAAAATTCTTATATCACTATCAACATAGAAGACTTGTGACCTAAAAACATGAGAGGATTTTTCCCCACTAGCAAGTAGGCAGTTTTGCAGTAGACATCAACTGGGGGTCTTCTAACTTATTTTAATTCTAACACAATCTACCCTGAAATAGGGTTAGATCCCACAGGTTGAGGCTTCAGTCTTCATCTAACACTATTCCCATTTTAGATCTAGTTAGAAGTCTAGGTACTCTTCCCCCCTCTAGTACTGGGCATTGATTCCAAGGCCTCATGCTAGGCAAGTGCTCTATCACTTGAGCTACAACCCAAGCTCTCCACCCCACCCCACCCCCACCCCAAAAGAAACCTCTTTTTGAGACAAAAGTTTTATTTCTCACCAAGTTATCCAGGTTGGCCTTGAACTTGAAAACCTCATGTCTGGGCATCCTCTGTGATTTCTGGCAGGGAGTTTAAGTTTGGGTTTTTATGACCTCTTTAGGTTTGATTAATTTGTACCACAGCTTGTAAAACTCAGGGAAACATGTTTATCAGTTTATCATAAAGAATGTTTTAGAGGACAGGAATAAGAAGCCAGATGAAGAGATACAAAAGGTGAAGTATAGAAAGGTCCTGAATGAAGGAGCTTTTGTCCCCATAGAGCTGGGATGAAACATTCTTCTGGCATGTGAAGTTGAGTTTTTGTTTGCCATTTTGTGAGGCTCTATATGTTAAGCTTTTCTTTATTAAAAAAAAACAACAACAACAACAACAACAAAACCAACTTTTTTTTTTTTTAGTTGTAGATGGATACAGTACCTTAATTTTATTTATTTATTTTTATGTGGTGCTGAGGATGGACCAGTGTCTCACACATGCCAGACGAGTGTTCTACCACTGAGCCACAACCCCAGTTCTATCTTTTGGAGTTTATAGAGACTTCATTGTACAAGCATGACATAATCATGTCAAAATATGATTGGACAAAAAGGGTATTATCTAATACTAACAGAATGAGTGGGGAAACCCAGCAAGGTTTTTGGGTTTTCAAAAGAGCATTCTTTTCTTGGGGGTATGGTGCAGGACCCCTTCTGTAATTAGGGTCTTATCAGATAACTTATTTTTTATGCCAGCTGCAAAACAGATTTATTTCTATGGCTTGCATTGGAGAATTAAAAAAAAAAAAAAAAGAGTAGGCAAAAGGAGGGTAGAAAGTCACAGAATTAGACTTTCTTTTCTGAGGCCTACATGAAGCCTAAAGTGTTATAAAACCCATGGGAGTAATGAGCCATGTACTCTGAATAAAACCTAAAAACATATCCTACCACAGGCCATTCTCCGATTTCTGAACATGGATCCCTTATAACAAAACAATCATTATCTGTCAGGGTATCTGTGTACATTGCAGAATTCGTATAACAGATATAGCACTAGTATTAACAAAAATACATCCGTAACATGGAGAAGCCAGTGTGGGGTCGGGAGAAATAAAAAGAAACTAATTTGTCTTATGTCATTATAAACATTTTTATATTTTTGTACTAGTCAATTATTATTTGTACCTTGTAATGAACTTGCGTTGACCAATTTATAAAAATCAACTGATTGGATTTAATATCCCCTCAGTCCAGTCATTTTTTACAGGTAGTATATCCTAAGGAGGCTCAAGCCGTAGCGCGCTTGCCTGGCATGCGTGCGGCCCGGGTTTGATCCTCAGCACCACATAAAAACAAAGATGTTGTGTCCGCCGAAAACTAAAAAGTAAACATTAAAAAATCTCTCTTAAAAAAAAAAAAAAAAAAAGATAAGTGTTATCATAGTTGGCTATAACTTGGTTATTTTTGGATTTTATGTTAATTGGGGACAAAATCAATTACCCTGACTCATCTTATAGGCTTAGATCGAGACTGGGTTTTCTTGGGTACCTCGGGTTAGCAGGTTGATTTCCCTCCTAAAGGGAGGATATGAGTAGTGAAGGGATTGGGGCGGGTGTAAGAGTAAGTTATAGACTGCTTTCTGAAGCATGTTTCTGAGGTCTGAAATGCTAATATTATTCTTGTTACTTAAAAAACAACATTAGAGGGCTGGGAATATAGCTCAGTTGGTAGAGTGCTTGCCTCGTATGCACAAGGCAATCCCCAGCACCACATACATGCAAAACAACAATAATAAAAACAAAACTTTAGATAGGGTAAAGGGGAAAAAAGGAGGAGGGGGCATGGGGGTAGAAAAGATAGGGTAATGAGGTGGACATCATTACCCAAAGTACATGTATGAAAACATGAATGTTGTGACTCCACCTTGTATACAACCAGAGACATGAAAAATTGCTCTCTATTTCTGTAATACAAAATGAATTGCATTCTGCTGTCATATATAACAAATTAGAATTAAAAAAAAGAACACCCATATTTGACTGTGGGAATAATGAGCCAAAATAACCGCCACAAAATACATCATTTAATAGGTACCTTTTGCTAAAGAATAGGATAAAACCATTTAAAAATAAATTTGTAGCCAGGTGTGGTGGTACATGCCTGTAATCCCAGCTACTCAGGTGGGTAAGGCAGGAGAACTGCAAGTTAAAGGCCAGCCTGGGCAACTTAGTAAGACTCTGTCCCAAAATTTAAAAAATAAAAGAGGGTAGAGATACAGCTCAGTGGCAGAGCATTCCTGGATTCAATTACTTCCCAGTACAAGGGAAAAAAAAAAAAAAAGTCGTCTATACTGACATACAATAATTCTTACAGGTCTATCAAGACTGACCTCAGATTTTGCACCCTCCAAAATGCATCCCCTGGTTAGGTCCTCACCAACTCTACACTCCCCATTAGTTGTTTTTCTTTTGTGCTCTCCAGCACACTACACAGGTTATCTATCATATTCTTATACTATATTGTGACTGATTATTCAACTAACTCTCAGAAGACTGAAAAGCTATCTTAAAGTTGGGGGTATAATTTATCTTTGTACCTTCAGAACTTAGCATATACATTTAGCATAAATAATAAAAGTTTGATGAGTCAGTACCCATCGTAGACGTACCTCTCCCATCTGTTGTTCAATAATTTGATGTGCAATTTCTTCTATGGTTGCCATGATCTAATTGTCAAAATGACCTGCCAAAAATAAAAGACAAATACTTTTTTTACAATGATACCCATAAAAACACATTTATGGGGAAATTTATAAACTTAAGATTTGCTTGAAAGTAACTCAGTTGGGGTGGGTGGAAGTAGAAGAGAACAGACAAGATTGGTCTTGTTTTGACAACTGCTAAACATCTTATCAGCTGGTGACTTTCTGCTTTGCATGTTCTGAAATGTCTATTGACAAAACTATTCCAGCACCAACAATTTACTTTTCAAATAGACTAGACAGGAGAACTTTGAGTTGTAGTTTACTAATTTAATAAAAGGCAAACCTGTGAATAAACCTGATAGTTCTTTTATCAATATTTTATAAAAAGATTTATAAAAACTGATAGTTGATTCAATACATTAAAAAATTTCCCAGGCTGGGGTTGTGGCTCAGCAGTGAGCGCTTGCCTTGCATGTGCGAAAGAGATCCTGGGTTTGATCCTCAGCACCACATAAAAATAAATAAAGGTATTGTGTACATACACACACACACAAAATCTCTAGAATTTTGCAACTCTTCTTTAGTTGCAATTTTCTATACATATTAAGGTTAACTTGAATTTACTGCCTGTCTCCAAATAAATTTGAGAAACTGAAAGGAAAAAAAAGAGAGAAACTGAAACATCAATGGCTTGACTTCAAATTAAGGTTAACTTGAATTTAATGCATAACTGTCTCCAAATGAATTTGAGAGGCTGAAACATCAATGGCTTGACTTCAACTTTGCATTTTCTCTACATTTTACAGTCAAGATTCAAAAACTTTGTGATTTTATCTTAAACACTGTTTGTCATATACTTACTAATATTCTCCAAATATAATTACTATTAGCTGCCAAATTATCTGAATTGTTTTTATCTTTTTTTTCAGTTGTAGATGGACATAATACCTTTATTTTATTTATTTTTATGTGGTGCTGAGGATTGAACCAATGAATGCCTCACACATGCCAGACTAGTATATTATCTATCACTCAGCCCCAGTCCCAGCCTTGAATTGCTTTTTTCTTTTAATTATTTAGAATATCTTAAGTTTTAATTAGTTGTGCTAAAAGCAATATTCAATAATTAGCTTCATTATTCAACTCTCTCTTATTAGATTGAACAAGAGTAGCCCTAACTTCTTTGGAATCATCAGAGGAGGAGACAGCCCTAGCATTCTAGGAATAGTTCCTTTTGAGCTGTTGTGATAGTGTAGTGTAGCCTTGACAACCTCTGAGACACCCTTGGTGTCATTCTTCCCTTTTAATAAAAAGACAACAATGTTTGTAGCTAGATAATTATACTAGTCTGTTCTGCAATCTCAGAAGTCCAATAGTCTTTCTTTTTCATCTCATCACTGACCCCTTGAGTCTAAGATTGGTAGTATTTCAACAACTCTACTGGTCTCCCATGCAGTTCATGGAATTCAAAGACAAGAGTCCTCTGCAGATCTTTCATGGATAATCATATTTCTACGCTATTCCCAGTTTCAATGAGATGGCTGCTGGATCTATAAGTCGTATACCCCCCATCTCTTGAAAGATGGTTGTTCAGGCACAATCCTTTTAAAAAAAAAAACAAAAAACATTTTTAGTTATAGATGAACACTATACCTTTATTTTATGTATTTTTTTAATGTAGCGCTGAGGATCAAACCCAGTGCCTCATACTGCAGGCAATTGCTCTACCACTAAGCCATAATCCTCAGGCACAATCTTGACAATTGCTCCATAACATGCTTTATGGATCTCTGTGTGTTGGGGGTTGGGGGAGTTACTGGGGATAGAACCCAGGGATTCATACATACCTGACAAGTGCTCTACCATGAACAATACCTCTAGCTCCCACTTTCATATTTTTCACAGTAGGAATAAGCTAAGAATTTTCCAAATCTTCAAGATGTCATTTCCTTACCAAAATCCTTTTTTTAAAAACAATTTTTAGTTGTAAATGGACACAATACCTTTATTTATTTTTATGTGGTGCTGAGGATTGAACCCAGTGCCTCACACATGTGAGGCAAGCGCTCCACCACTGAGCCACACTCTAAGCCCACCAATTCCTTTTTTGCTAGGTGTGGTGGTGCATGCCTGTAATCCCACAAACTCCAGAGGCTAAAAGGAGAAGATCATAAATTCAAGATCATCTGAGGCAATTTACTGACACCTTGTCTCAAAATAAAAAAGGGCTAGAGACAAAGCTCCACGATGGAATACCCTTGGGTTCAATCCTCAGTACAGTAGGGAAACAAATAAATAAAACCTTTTCCAGTTTATCTTTCCTCTTAAACTTTACTATAAGCAGCAAGGAAAAACCAGACTGTGCCTTCAATATTTTTTTTAATAATATTCTCATGTATGCATCCCAGTTCACCTCTTACAAATTCTACCTTCCACAAAACACTAGAACACAATTCAGCCAAGTTGTCACTTTATAACAAGAATCATCTTTCCTTCAGTGTCCAGCATGTTCCTCATTTCCATCTGAGACTTCACAAGAAACACCTTTAATGTTCACATTTCTATCAACCATCTGATCATGACTTATCTCCAAGATGAGAGAAACTTTCTCTACAGCTTTCCTCTTTTCTTCCTGAATCTTCACCTCTGTAATATAAAAATCCATATTTCTATCAAGTCTTTTCAAGGCAACCTAGACTTTTTTCTACCACATACCTCAGATCTTTCCTAGTTTCTACCTATTACTAAGCTCCAAATTTTTTGATATTTCTATCCATTTCCCAGTATCTGGAGACATAAATAATTATGAATATATCCCATAAAGAACAACAACAACAAACTATATCTGGAAGGAAACATAAGAAAATGGTTACCCAGGGTTCAGTCCTCAGTTCTGCAAAAAAAAAAAAAAAAGGAAGAAAAAAGGATATAATGACCACTTCCAAGAGGGTAACTTATTTTTCACTGAATAAGTATTTCTTTAAAATTTGCCTAAATGTAAGAATTACACATGATTATTGCTTGCTTACTTAAGTAAGTGTATAAATAGGAAAGCCTGAATTTTAAATATCAGTTCAATTATAACAACTGTGCTAAGACTTTTTAAAAAAATATTTATTTTTTAGTTGTAGCTGGACACAATATCATTATTTTATTTATTTATTTTTATGTGGTGCTGAGGATCAAACCCAGGGCCTTCCACATGCTAGGCGAGCGCTCTACCTCTGAGTCACAATCCCAGCCCAATTGTGCTAAGATATAAAAAGAAAAAATTGGGGTGTCAACATACTTTATATACAGAGATACAAAAATTGTGGTATATATGTGTATTAAGAATTATAATGCAAAAAAACCCCCATTGATGTGGCTGCGTCACTAAAAATGATAAAAAAATTAAAATAAAATAATAAAATAAAAATTGAGGGCTGGGAGAGAGATGAAATAATCATTGTTAGGATAACAAGCAGAGCTGACCTTGGAGAAAACTAGAAAAAGAAGACACAATCAAGTATCTTCTTCTCTATTGTCAGCTTCTATGTTGGTAATTTTCAAATTTGTAGTAAAGAGTAAAATGTATTCTTATTTCAGTGAAATGAAAAGTATTCTTATTTCAATTTTAAAGTCCTAGTAATGGATTCTGCTTAGCCCAGTCTAAGTTATGAGCTTATGTCTAGGATTAATCACTAGATAAGCCAGGAAAAAAGGTTACTAGAATAGGCAGCTTCCATTTTTGGAAGGAATAGGCAGCTTCCATATTTGAAAGGCCCATTTCTCAAATGATGAAGACTAGCACAGACATGCTACTGACTGTATGAATTCAGCTTGACATGACTGCAGCCACCCTAACTCATAACCCCGTGACTGCCCCAGAGTAACATTAATCAGTTTTTCCTGCAGTTTTCCATCAAATTATACATAAGACCATTAGAGTCTGGTATGTAGAAATTTACAACTGGTCCCTAGCACCATAAATATACCTGACTCTTTGACAAGAGCTTAAAATAGGCCAGGTAAAGTTTGGATGAAGTCACTTCTGTTTGAACCAATATATACACCCCTATTTCTGACCCAAATTATGCAGATCCACTGGTCCTGCTACAGCCTAAGATCAGCCTTCTTCAAGTCCCTCAACTGACTGCTCTCTGTGAAATCCTGGATCATCTATCTCATGGCATCTTGGGGCTCACTCTCATATACTGGGACTGGGTAGTTCCAGAATGGCCAGGCAACCACTTTAATTTGCTTCTACTACTGATAAAAGAACACCACTAAACTACTCAAAAACTTAATTTGCTACTTATTCCAATTTTCTCTATTAGAGAAATCTCAAAAAGAAGTGAGGATGGGGGATGAAACCCCTAATAAAATACTAAATATTGTTTTGGGCTTCATTTAGATCAAGGTCCTTTAATTTCTTGCTTTCTGAGTTCTTTAGTAAATAATAACTTTAATTTAAGAGGTATGTTGTATTAGATAATCTCCAAAGTTTCTAGAGAATTGTCAGAATTTTCCTCAAGATAAACATACCAGACTCCTCCCTGCCTTAATTGGTAAAAGGGCATAAGTAGTGATGGTAAGGCAGCTTTGAAATTCTCAATACTAAAAACTTGAAGATTGATTGGATGCAGGGGTGCATGACTATAATCCCAGCTACCCAGGAGGCTGACACAGGATTACAAATTTGAGGTCAGCCTGAAAAACTTAGTAAGACTATGGGACAAAATAAATTAAAAAAAATAAAAATAAGGGCTGGGGATGTGGCTCAAGCGGTAGTGTGCTCGCCTGGCATGCGCTGGGCGCTGAGTTCGATCCTCAGCACCACGTAAAAATAAAGATGTTGTGTCCACTGAAAACTAAAAAATAAATATTAAAAAATTCTCTCTTAAAAAAAATAAAAATAAAAAAGAGGGGTGGGAGAAGTGGCTCAGTGGTAGAGCACTTGCCTAGTATGTGTGAGGCACACACCACATATAAATCAATAAAATAAAGGTCCATTGACTACTAAAAAATTATTAAATAAATAAATAAATAAAAGAAAGGGGGGCTGGGTATGTATCTCAGGGGTGGAACATGTAGGCAAGACCTTGGGTTCAATGTCCAGTAACCCCCAACCCCAAAACCTTGAACACTTGATATTTTAGACCTTGCTATTATACTTTCTCATGTAACAAAGGACATCAAAGATTACCAATTGCCCTGATATACTGATGTACCGAATTTTCTTTATGGGGAAAAACTACTGTTGGGGTAAAAAAAGAACCAATTTTATCTACAGTTTCAAAGAAAAGCTAATAAATGAGGAGGTTCATCAATGGGAACTCAATAACACAGACACAGTTTTTAATTTTTTCTAGGGAAAACTTAAGTAAATTATTGTTAATGAAGATGATAAAAGAATTTTTAAAAATTCAAATGAAAAAAAGCAAATGAACATGAAAATACACATTTCATGTGTGTGTGTGAATGTGTGTGCGCACATGCGCGTGCGCTAGTTATAATATAATGAGTAATTATTATCAAGATCTCCAGGACACTGTTGATGTTCTAGCACTCTGAAAAAAGCATATCTATGATCCCAGCTACTCAGAAGATGGTACATGCCTGTAATGTCCCTTTTCTTTTCTTAAATTATCTTTATTTTATTTTTATGTGGTGCTGAGGATAGAACCCAGTGCCTCACGCATGGTAGGCAAGTGCTTTACCTCTGAACCAAAACCCCAGCCTGTAACGTCCCTTTTCTACCATCAACATGGATGACTTGTGTCCACAAGAATAGACAAATTATAACCAATCTAGTCTCCAAGTTCTTGACCTCAAAACCTCATATGGTTCAGCTAACTGCTACTTGAATACTTTGCAGCCAGACTGCTCTGGCATATAGATCTTGTTGAGCTCAGTGGGGCATGCTTGTAATGCCAGCAACCCAAGAAGCTGAGGCAGGAGAGTCACAAGTTCAAGGCTGGCCTGGGCAACTTTCAAGACCCTCAGAAACTTAGCAAGATCCTATCTCAAAAAATAAAAAGAAGTGGGAATGTAGTTAGTCATAGCACTCCTGGGTTCAATCCCCAATACTCACAGATTTCCCTTATCTATAAGGATCTGAGGTGTCATTTGTTAAACTACACATTCTAGCTGTACATATTATTGTAATTCCTTGAGTTTAATTATGTTGTTTCATACTGCCACGTCTTTGCTAATGGCTTTTCTCTGTACCATAAATACCAGGGAATCAGTAGATCAATACTTACTTTCCAAGACTAATTCAGCACAAAAGATGAGGCAAAACAGGTATTCTTTACAGATAGCTGGTAGAAAACTAAACTGTTTTAACCTTCCTAGAAAAGTAATTTGCCACTGCGCATCAAGAACTTTAAAAATGTTCAAACTTATTATCCAACAATTTATTCTACAGTCTTGCATTCAACAAATACTCATTGGGCACATTTTATAGGCCAGGAAATTTTCTAGGAGATGAGGATACAGGAGAGGATCTTAAACACATCAGGGCTACAGCTGTAGCACAATGGCAGAGCACTTGCCTACCATGTGCGAGGCACTGGGTTTAATCCACAACACCACATATAAATAAAAATACAGGTTCATCCACAACTAAAAAAAAATATTAAAACAACAACAAAAACAAACACATCTTTTCCCCTTGTTACATTTATGTATTGGTGGGTGAACAGAAAACAAAGAAATAAATAAAATACGGTATCATCACCTAGTCTTGTTTCTGTTGCAAAACAGAACACCCCAATTTGGATAAGTTATAAAGAAAAAAGGTTTATTGTTGGGTGTAGTGGTGCACACCCGTAGTTCTAGGAAGCTGAGGCAGAAGGATCTCAAGCTCCAAGTCAGCTTCAGTGACTTAGAGAGGCCCTTAGTCAGACCCTGTCTCAAAATAAAAAATATAAAGGACTGCGGATGTGGCTCAGTGGTTAAGTACCCATGGGTTCAATCCCTGGTACAAAAAAAAAAAAAAAAAGTTTTACTTAGCTCACTATTCCATAAAAAGTACTGAATTAACAAAGTGTTCCCTAAATGAATGGGAGTAGTGTTAAAGATGATCAACCCTAAAAGAGGAGATCCCAGGTAATCTATTAGAAGAGACTTGAGTTACTGAAGGATAAGTGTTTTTACCAGCCTGAGAGAGAAAGCAAAACACATGAGAATGCTCTTTACTACTCCAGAGCTAATTAACAGAAGGCACAGAAACCTACATCATCGCTTGTTCAGTTTCCTTCCATCTTTCCCACAGAAATAGATTAAAAAAGAAAAAGCCTATGATATAGATGGTGCCATCCTTTTCCATTCAGATTAGGAAACTTAACATTGCTTTTTGACTCAACTTCTATATCTGATACGGTTAATTTATTTTCCTAACATCTGCTCCTTGTCCCCATTCTTTCCAGTCCCACTCCCATACTCAATATAGGCTATTATCACCCAAAGCACTATTTTGCAATCTTTGTATTGTGACCTGTTTATGCATGGGTAAATTAATTTAGTAGATCACAACTAGAATAGAAAGAAGAAAAGAAGGGAGAAAGTCGAACACAGTGCATAAAAAATATATACTATATAGAAAATAGCATATCAGATTTTTAAGGGACAGAAATCATGAAGAAAATTATTTCAATTTAGTATATATTATGCAAAACTTATTTGTGTGGTATGTTGTCATAAGATTTGAAAATATGATATAAAATAACAATTCTCTCTTTTCTTCTGTGGAGGTGGAATGGGTCCCTTTGAAAATCTGATGGAGTTAAGGTTTCCCCCAGCAGAAAAACCCAAGTTCACATTCATTCATACTACAAACCATTTTAAGTGCTATAATTTTCAAAAAAGCAGCCCAAGAACCCCAACTTAGGAATTCTTGAGGTAAAATTTTGGGAGTTGATTATATATAACTGAAACCATGGAAAGGACAATCCCAGATAAGGGGGATTTCTATTATTCCTGAATATACCATTTTGATTTCCTCTTCCCTCATTTAAATTCAACTTGACCTTTGAGATTTAGTTCCAACACTTTTTTACCCAATTTTTCTTTCTTCTTGCTTTTCACTTTTTGCCTTTTTCCTGTGGTACTGGGAATTAACCCAGAGCCATAAAATAATGCTAGAAGTGTTCTCCCACTTAACTATACTCTCAACCTTAAAAAAAAAAAAAATATATATATATATATATATTTAGTTGTAGATGGACACAATATCTTTATTTATTTATTTTTATGTGGTGTTGAGGATTGAACCCAGTGCCTCACACATGTGAGGCAAGTGCTCTACCACTAAGCTACAACCCCAGCCCACTCTCAGCCCTTTTAATTTTGACACAGGGTCTCACTGAGATATCCATGTTGGACTCAAACTTGTGATCCTGTTTCTGCCTCTAGAATAACAGAAATTATAGGCATGTGCCACCACACCTGGCTTACCCAATATGTCTAGATTGATGTAGCATTCATTGTGTACAGTAAGATTGTTAACAAGGATTCAGGAAGAAACTTCCATTAATTACTAACATGTAAAATTTTTATATAGAGTTGCAATTTTCTAAAGATGGTTCCTAAAATATTTAAAAAGACTGTAGGTCGTCATATGACTCAATAAAGGCAAAAAATTCATACATATACCATTACTTATTGTATGCTGTTTTTTCTTTAGTCTTTCTTATTTCCCTTGGATAGGCATTATTATACTTTGTATGGCACACACCATCATAGGTTTCTCAGGAAACACTGACTTGTGTCTTCCTCAAATCCTTAAGATACCAAAATGTTCTACAATGAATAATGAAATGAGTTACATTTCATGTGATACCCTGCACCCCTTGGATAGCTGGGACTGAACTCTGGGGCACTCGACCACTAAGTCACATTCCCAGCCCTATTTTGTATTTTATTTAGGGATAGGGTATCACTGAGTTGCTTAGTGCTTCACTTTTGCTGAGGCTGGCTTTGAACTCCCGATTCTCCTCTCTCAGCCTCCAGAGCAGCTGAGCTGGAATTACACCTGTGTGCACCTGAGGCCCAGGGTTCAAATGGTACTTTTTTTTTTTTTAAATACGTGGTGCTGAGAATAGAACCCAGTGCCTCACACAGGATAGGCAAGTGTGCAACCGCTGAGCCACAGCCTCAGCCCCTTCCCGTGATACTTTTTATAACAAACAGAAAAATTTTTGTTAATACAATGAAAGCAACACTGTTAAGATCTTTCAAAATTGGTGTGGAAGCCATAAAGGAAGCAGGACTCAAGCTGCTACCTAGGAATGTGAACTTTGATCACCTCCATACTTTGACCACAAGACTCTGGAATGACGACAACAACTGGAAAATTACATTATACTCACAGATTCAAGATGCATACCAAAATATTATTAGACCCTTGTTTTATGGGCCTTTTTACTAAGCATATATGTTCCTTTTTGTACCTTTGTAGTTCATTGAGCCCTTATTTTTTCAACATTCAACAACTCACATAAGTGCCCACCTTCCTTGAAACACGGATTCAGAGCTATTTGAATATGTGTCTCCCCAACTGCAAATTTCTAAGACCCCAAAGTTCTTTTTCTTTTCATTGTCTTGAGTTGAACTGATCCACAATCTCTCTTTCAGATCCAACAACTGCACATATAAACCAAAATCAAAATCAACCGTGCATCTCCCAACACACAAGTAGACAATGCTAAAATAACCTCAAAATCCGAGGTATACTTACAACTTCCGGGGAAGCAAAAGCCCTAAAGACCTTAACTTCAAGCCTGCTTTTCTCTTCCAGTTACTTTACACGCTGACCTACTTACTGAAGGTTACCGGGCGAGTTGGCAACATTTGTATTTCATAAAGTGATGTTTGCGCGAGTTGGAGGCAGAGTTCTTAACAAAAGAGCTACTGGTAGCTTGGACATGTCCACTGCAGAGAGGACCCTGGGCCATTCCGGTTTTTTTCTAAAACTCTGAGGTCCAAAGGCAGAGGCTACTCTCGCCTCTCTTTGTCGTGAGAGAAAAGTGAAAGTGGAGAGCGCCATTCTGTCTTTACTGTGTAAGCTCGGAATCAGTCCGCGGCCACGGAGAAAGGGTTCCAGGCCCAGAGAAGGAGAAGCACCTCTCCAGCTTCTCGCCC